TACCAAATGAATGGTTTTGTAAGGAGAGTAGTTGTTGTCGACCATGTCAACCGTCCTCTATGAAAAGGTACCTCGACATAGAGTCGTGTCTTATGTCTTATAAACTAGTCTTATATACTAGTGAATTGTAAGATGTCTTATATACTAGTGAATTGTAAGATCTCTTATATACTAGTGAATTGTAATTGTAATTTTGTAGTGGTAGATACCCTACAGTACTCATCAGAATTATATCTGTGATAGAATTCGGTACATGGATTCCAGTTGCTATATTTGTGACAGACCGGGAGAGCTGGATTAAGGTCACCGGGTTTTTGAACATTAGTCATGAGAGCTGTATTAAGATCATGGTGGTAGTCACTCCTGTGTTGCCTTTAGCAGTCGAGTGTATGCAGGCCGACGTTGTGTTTTAATCGAGACTGAGTAGCAACAGCGCGAGGAGGTGGATAATGTCGCAGTCACAAGTAGCAAGTCAACTGTTCAATGTGGACCATCCATCGAAGTAGGCGTTTCTGCTAAGGTAGGCGTTACTGTCAAGATAGGCGCGTGTTCGCATCATGTCCGGGTCACCAATATGAGGAGAGTAGTTGTTGTCGATCATGTCAACCGTCATCTATGAAAAGGTACCCCGACATAGAGTTGAGTTAACATGTCTTATATACTAGTGAATTATAATTGTAATTTTGTAGTGGTAGATACCCTACAGTTTAAATACCGTGTACTTAAGCTTTATTACCAAAAGTAAGTGTTTTTTTCTTTTTTCTTTCCACTGGAAATGTCATTACCAAACATTGCGGTAATTTCACCAGAATTTTTTTCTTCGTGTGAGATTTTTCATATTATATTAACGTTTTTGGTGGTATTTCATAACAAGTGACTTTAAGACACGCGTGCGACCTTTTTTAAAAATGTTTACTAGGTAGACATATGAATGAATAAGCAGAGATTCTAGAAATCACTTATCTGGAGTCTCAAAGGAAAACAGAACAAGCGAAAGTGTTTAGGTTGTAAAATTTGGGACGTAGGGTAGTACTATAATGGGAAATAGTTTGTTTTTCTTTTTCAACTGAAATGTTTTAAACAAGAATTTAAGAAGCCGATGTTGTTAGCTTGTTGAAATTTACCCATAATTTAAGCCAGAGTAATGGTTATTGTAAATCTTTCTACTCTTGTCAAACACATTTAGTTCTGGAGTTGACTATTTACTTGCCAAGTGGGTCACAGCAGATCTGGCGCTTGCAATCAAGTTATCAAGAAAAATAAAGATTCATTAGGTGCCTTTGGAGGTTGGAATCCCAAGGGATTGCCAAGTTAATTTTCTTTAAAAAAATATGTCATACAGACAAGGTTGCCTTGTGGAGTAACACATGTTTTAGCTAAATAAACATGTTCTAAAATGTTTTGTAGAAATTTGCTTTAAATGATTGTAATACCTTTTTTAAATATAACAAAATTGAAATATATTATTTTAACATAATTTATCCCATAAGAACAACTTTTGTAATTAAAGAAGCTAAAATTTTTCTTACATGTTTGACATATAAGTTAAAAGTAACACAAATTTAGTTTCCTAACCTTTTTGCCGATAATGAATCAATTTATGCAAAAATATTAATCAAATGCCCTTTTCTTAAATATTGTAAAAATTGTTTAAGAAAATGAATATTTTCCAGCCATACATTGGGCATTAAATTGCCTATGCATGGTTAAAAACTATGTATGAAACTAGTTTTGAACTATGGATAAGCACTAAAGTGCCCATTAAAAAGTTCAAAACGGGACGGGGACATGTTTTAACAACGTGAATAAAGCACAAATTAAACACAGTTTTGTCTATTTCTGTGCTTGATTTGAGCTTTAACTACGTTGTTTTTCAGGTTAGTATATGCGATGCCACAATCGGCACAACAAATTTCCCAGCTTTTAAAATTTCTTTAATTTCTTAAACTTAATTTTTTCAATCATTCTTTATCAAATTTTAATTAAATTAAAAAAATTAAATTTTTATTACAATTTATAAAAAGCGAATATAAAATACTTGATTCTTTTCTTAATAATTAGTGCAATGTAACGGCCAACTTTTTATTTCAATACTAATGTAAGACTCATTAATTTCATGTCGCGACTAAATCGAAAACAAAAATCTATTTATAGCTCTTAATTCTTTATTTCTTACAACAAAAATGTTTCAGTAGCATGGTTATACAAATTTTCACAGTCTTTTTGACAATTCGTTTTCGCCAAATTGGTTTCAAATTTAATATTGATTATGGGGGGTTGGCTTTATTTTTGGCCGTGTTATCTTTCGATAATTCGCCAACCTTGGATCTCTTCCCATGCTCTTAACTGTTAGTTGGGAACAATTCATTCACTTTTATTTTGGAATTATTGGCGTGAAGATAGCAGTCCCAACCGTTGTATAACTATCGCAACAGAAATTCTCAACGTTGGGAATGATTTTTTTGATCCCTTTAAAGGACTTCTTTTCTTTATTTTTATTTTTTTTGAACATGGTCATAGTCTAATTTTATATTTAATAAATAAATCAATTCCTCTTAAACGATTTTATACATTTCTCTGCAATAAACATCTCTTCTTGATATCCAAATTGAAGTGTATCTCAAACGGTCAAAAGTATGTTTAATATTTCAATGATGCTACCGAAGCTACCGCTAAAACTGGACTGATGATCACCGTCTCTACATGAGATTAAAAAAATAAGTTTAAAAAATTAAATAAATTTCAAAAGCTGGGAAATATGCAGGTTGCTTATAAAGTCCAGGACCCATTTTGATGTTTAATAACTCATTAAATAATAAAGATAGATTAAAATGGTTAGATAGACTCAAAAAGTTTCATGACCCTTGTCAATGAACTTCCACGTGTGCCCCCTTCGTCGCACGGAGAATATCAAGTCGATAGTCAATTTCACGCCAGGTAGCGGCAAGCATGTCGGCATCCACAGAGGNTGTTTATAAAGTCCCGGACCCATTTTGATGTTTAATAACTCATAAAATAATAAAGATAGATTAAAATTAATAACATAAATGGTTAGATAGACTCAAAAAGTTTCATGACCCTTGTCAATGAATTGCCACGTGTGCCCCCTTCGTCGCACGGAGAATATCAAGTCGATAGTCAATTTCACGCCAGGTAGCGGCAAGCATGTCGGCATCCACAGAGGCTATTGCGGTTGTAATTCTGGCATTTCCCGTTTCTGGCATTATTAATGGCCATAATGTGCGCATATGGGGATCTGAAAACCCCCATGGAGACCGTGAGAACAAAGGGATTCCCCAAAGGTTAATGTGTGGTGTTGACTAAAGCACGACCGAGTCATAGGGCCTTTCTTTTTTACTGAAAAGACGGTCTTATCAGTCGTATACTTAGACATGTTGGAAAACTTCGTATTTCCACAACTAGAAGAGCTTCAGCCACATGTCTTTTTGCAACAAGATGTTGCATCATCTCATTGGGGTATCATCGTTCGTAGTTCTTTGAATGATCATTTTCCAGAAAGATGGATTGGGAGAGGAGGTCCAATTCATTGGCCACCCAGATCACCTGATATAACGCCGCCGGACTTTTTTCTTTGAGGATTTATGAAGGATTATGTTTACGAGAGGATCGTGTCGAACACTGATGACCTAAAAGCCAGAATTACAACAGCAATAGCCTCTGTGGATGCCGAGATGCTTGCCACTACCTGGCGTGAAATTGTCTATCGACTTGATAATCTCCGTGCGACGAAGGGGGCACACGTGGAAGTTCATTGACAAGGGTCATGAAAATTTTTGAGTCTATCTAACCATTTATGTTATTAATTTTAATCTATCCTTATTATTTTATGAGTTATTAAACATCACAATGGGTCCGGGACTTTATAAACACCCTGTATAAAGACTATTGTCGCATCACAATATATGTAGCACAATGTATACCATATCCTTTATTTAGATGCATGGGTAGATTTACGAGATCCGTATAGATTAAAATGAGAAGAGCCCGTGTAGTTAGAAAATGGAGCAATTTTTCTTGATTTTTTTCCGAACCTATTTTTTCCTTTTCTATCAATATATTTGAGTTCACTTTAGTAGGTATGTTAAGTACCTTTTGGTAATAACTTACAGATAGAAATTCCTTTACTTAAACACACTATGGCACATAGTGTGTTTAACAACTCTCAGAACAGTTCACCGTTAAACCATCAGTTCTAGTGCAAATTTGTTGGAGCCTTAATAAGTATTCAAATAAAAACAGCCATTAATGTGTCAAAGTAATTCATAATGCTTTAAAAGTTAGTGTAAGTAGTAGGATAATTTGATTCAACGTTTAACCATATAAACGTCGCATTCTAGTAAAAGTACCATAGAGTTATGAAATTTCTGATAATGACATTTCCGGTTAAGAAAACTATAATTAACAAAATATACGGTATTCAAACCATTCATTTGTTAATTTTCCCGTTGATATGTTAACGGCTTTACTGGAAACTTTGGTTTTCAAAATTATAGTGTTTATTATCACACAATTTAGTAAAAAATACAAATCAGAAAAATCAATTTTAACCAAATAAATGGTTTTAATGCCTTGCTCTGAGTTATTACTATAAAACTACCAAACTTTACCGCATTTACCAACTTTTATTACATATTATAAAACCATATTTTATTGTTACTTTTGCCAAAATCATTATCAAAGCGCTTCGTTGAAAATTAGGTGTTCTCATAGAGCCAGAAACACAGTAAAATTTACCACATTCAGGTAGTTTTGACTGCACTTTTTTTCTCAGTGTAATATTTACTTAAGTAGAAAATGGCCGTCCATGAATGAATAATCTTTGTTTATAAAGTGGAAGTTACGAGGGAATAAAATCATTGGAAAATATGGCGTTGAATTTCTATCTTTTGGAAATAGAGATACATGTGCATAAACGTACTTATTATATTAATCAATAGACTTATTTACATTTTAAGAATTGGTTTTTAAATTTTATTTAGGTAAGGAGAAAGAGCAAAGCTTATAGACATCTTTTAGAAGGGGATTTAGTATTGAGTGTGAACGATCAGTCTAGCCAAAACTTAACATATGATCAAGTAATGGAGATTGCAGACAAAAGCGGAACCGATCTAACGCTTGAAGTTTTAAGGTGAGTCAATTTTTAAAATTCGTTTCAAATCTTTGCATTTCTTTGGGTGTTGTTTGCCTGTAATTGCAGTGAATTTTGATGTCCTGCGAATTAAAGTCATTTTCCATATATACTTAAATGCTGAATAACGCTCCTCCGCAATTTTCATTTGCTCAAATGAATTAACATTACTATTATTAGTTTATGTGCATCAATAAAATAATTTATTTATAACTGAATATGAAAAAGCACAGAAAAAGATCATGCTATGTGGCATTTATGAGAACTTAGATAAAGTTCTGTAGCATTTATGAGAGCTTAGATCATGTTTTGTGGCATTTATGAGAGCTTAGATCATGTTACGTGGCATTTATGAGAGCTTAGATCATGTTACGTGGCATTTATGAGAGCTTAGATTAAGTTACGTGGCATTTATGAGAGCTTAAAGAAATGATTTGGGAATGTACAAATATGCCACGAAACTATTTCCAACTAAACTATATTCTTAGGTCTCTACCTTCGCTATCTTCGATTTTTGGTTTTGTGTTTTCTTGATATATTTTGCACTTAACAAACATTTGATGATATGGTAATATTATACAGTATAATACCTTTAATAAAGGGATCGCTCTATTAGATTAGGAGAAATAGCGCTCGATAATTTTCAGAACTTCTATGAATTTATCATCAAAACTTTAAAGCAATAAAATGATGAGATTTTTGGTTTGTGTAAATTAAAAGTGCTCGTTTCTCAGTTTTCAGATTTTTTAAGATCTAGTTTTACTGTAGTTAACCGACTGAAAACCTATTTGGATGAAGTTAAACATTTTTTTAAATGCAAGAAAATAAAGATACTAATCAAAAAATTAAAAAACAAACAAACAGGCTACTGTATAATATTTAACTACCTATCCAAAACTGATGATTGCAGTATTGTATTGGTGTAATATTCGCAAAAGCATAACAGAATCTGAAGTACCGTTAGCTTTAAATGTCAAATTATGATTGGGTGGCGATCGTGTATTTTATGTGTATTAAAAGATAATATCAAATAGAGTAAATATCCATCATTAGTTTATTTGGGAAAATTAAATAAAAAAGATTAAAAGCATATTTAGAGTTTTCCCTCCCCGCCTCTACCCCTTCGGCAATATAGTTCAGGTGGCAGAGGAAGTGCTACTTAAATCTGGAAATTTGAATGTTTTTAAATAACAACAACTATCATATTCTTCCACTTAATACAAACTTGTAAATATTTTCTGTATCATTGCTCACACTTAAAAGACAATTTATGGTGTTTCTTTGATACCATTTGATTGAAGAAAACACAGTTTATTATTACCGAATGATAATTATGTATAAATAAAATAGTTTAGATCAATTGATAACTTAACAGTATGGTAAAAGGTCATAAAAGTGACATTTATGTGAATTAAGAGACAATCAGTTTGGAACTTATAAATACGCTTGGAAACTATTTGTACACTGAGAAAAAGTCATGATCAAAACTACCGGAATAGGGTAAAATGTTTGACTCTATTGGAACATCGAAAACTCGGTAATTTTTACCGAAGCGCTTTGGCAATTATTTTGGTAAAATTGACAATAAAATATGATTTTATAATGTGTGATAAATTTGTTATATGTGGAGAAATTCGGAAATTTCATCACGATACCTAAGAGCAGTGGTTCCCAAATGGTGTTCCGCGAAAAGGTAAAATGGAATTTAGCACATTTTTTTTAAAACTAGTAATGATTTTTTTTAAAACCTGTAATAGGTTTGTATCCAACCAATAACACATAATTTATTTAATATTAAGGTTATTTTTAAAATAATTATTTTTATATAATTGCACTAATATTTAAATAGAAAATTTTGAAAAAAATATTTTTATTAAATACATTTTGACATATTTGATATTTTTCTGAATCTCCGTTTATATTTAATTAATTAGTTGGGATATTTTTTTATCGTTTTTTTAGATTTTTTTTGTTTATTCTATGATCTTGTTTCTCATGATCTGGAATAAAGGTAATGTGAGTTTTAGCTGTAATTTGATTTTAGTATTTTAGGTTATGGATGACGAAATTTCAAAATTGCTATTTGAAATTATTTTATATTATTCTTTATTTTAATCTTCACATTAACTAAATGCTGTGCAACAAAATTATTTTTGAAGATTTAGGAAAAAGCCCTGAGATTAGATTTGATATCTAAAAGTTTTTTTTATTTTTAAAACATAGTTAAAGATATTTTATTTTAATATTTATTTACATTAGCAGCATATTATTTTAACAGTTTCAACTATTTTAAAATAGTTTTCCCAAAATTTTTGGTTTAAATTAAGTTAAAACTATATATTAATTAGGTAATTGGTATTACTTATACGCAATTAATTGATCTAAATTACAATTTCAGCGTCATAAACAAGTTTGATACCAATTTTCGACGCATATTTGGAATTTTGTTTGATTTTGACAAGCCATTAAAAATTATCTAAGCTGGAAAAAACATCTGGCTCATAGTTATGATTTTAAGTTTTACTAACTTACATTTTTTATTCAATTTATATTTTAGATTAAATACTTTTACACTAAAAAAAGCATTTAGTCAATAAACATTTTTGAATGCAAATATTGTAACAGTTGTTAAAAAAGGAATTACTAATAAAATAACGATTTGTATTTAACTTGTATAATCAATGCAATTATTTATTAACAGCTATTAACTATTAAGGAACATTATTATATCAGTAAAGCGAAACATTTTCTAAGTCAAATTAAAATTAAACTAGTATCACATTTCATTTCAGAGACAAAATTTTAAAAGTTTAATACATATCATTAATTAAAATTTTTATAAGATTTCATCTTTCATTTTCTACATTTTAAATTGGTTTGCATAGTTTATTGACTGAAATATTTTCCTTTGAAGTTAATTTGTCCCTTCATTTATTTACATTTTTAACTATACTTTCCAGATTTTTGTTTCTTTTTCTTCAATGTTTCAGTTTTAAAAAAAATAGCCCAGAACATTGAAATAATCAAACAAAAGACTGGCCAACAAATTTGTTATCGTTGATTATCAGAAACTTAATCAAGTGCTTACGTAAGACCACAGATGTCCCTGTGCATCTATTTAGCACTTGTTTACAGAAACACCAAGGAGAGAAAAAAGAAAAAGGACGCCCACCTGTCTAAGTTTTTTAGTTACGGCAAACTCTTCTGGTCTGCATGGAATGTTGCCAAGACAGGAAACCCTTTTATCTTTTATTTTTGTATCATTAGCGTTAAGTCAGCCTTTTAATAGCTGATTTAGGTGTTCTTTTCCCGATACATTTGGCAGCAGTTAATCATATTTTTATTTTATCCTTTCGAGGAAGCCTTTACGTATTAATATTTATAAGGGGAAAGGAAGAAATTTTCATTTTGTATCACAGATATTTATTTTAATATTGTTGCTATATGTCTTGCTGATAATGCTGTGACAGTATCTTCCGTTTTGCGTAATAAAATTGCTTAAATATGTACAAATACGCTTAAATATATACAAATTTGTTTAGTAATTTTTTTATTTAGTCATGCCCGTAATTATCTTGGAGTTGTGATGGCTTAATGGTAGGCCCTTTGACATAGACTTTTTAATTGTCATATTTTTCATATTTTTTAATATTTATTTTTGTATTAATTTATGTCAAAATGCGGAAAAAAACATTAAAATATATACAAATATATATACAAATTTATACATATACAAATATATATATATACACAAATTTGTTTAGTATTTTTAGTATTTGCTAATTTTGTCATGCCCGTAATTATCTTGGAATTGTGATGGCTAAGTGGTAGGCCCTTTGACATAGACTTTTTATTAGACATATTTTTCATATTTTTGAATATTAATTTTTGTATTAATTTATGTCAAAATGCGGAAAAAAACATTAAAATAAGTATTTTAATAATGTATGGTTATGAAATAATGCAAGAAAAACCAGTGTAAAATTTTCTCTACCGAACAATAATTTTTCAAATTTGTGCTTATTTGCAGTTACTGAGAACTAGGAGAAACAGTGATTCATGATTGAAATTTCTTTAATTTACAAAATTAGTTATTGATAAAGGTTTGAATCTGAATGAAAATGAATTTGTTTTTCAAACTATATTTTGTTTTGTATTTAATATTTTTGAACAAATATATTTCCGATAACAGATTTTTCTAGTACTGTATTACACTGTATTATTTTCATTAAAAAGTACCAAAATATATTTTTACAAGTAAATAGTGAGTCAGATACATATATATACATATAAGGGTCATCGGAGTTCATGTGCGTCAAAGGGTTAGGGCTCAGAACGGTCACTGTGAAGAACCAGGGTTCGAGTAACTGATTGTCTGGAGAAGATGGAATTTGCACAGTGACACAATCATGGAGTTGGGGTCGAAATTGTGGAGCATTAACCTCCACGATTCCATGGTCCTCACCAGGCCGCTGAAGGAATGTTTTTATATTTATCTTGTATTTTAACCAGCATGACTATTAAAACTATATGCAACTCTTAAGTAATACATTTACTTTTAAATATGATGCCATATAAAAATAGCTTTTGTTTTGCTTTTTGTTCTTTCATTACTTGTTTTTTGTTCAAAAAATGGTTTGGAAACTTCTATAAAGATACATGAAAAGAAGGAATTGATTTTACAGGAAACTCCACCTTTTGCTTATTATGGAAATGTTCAGATTAGTTTCCTTCTCCAGATGCAACGACTGGAATTCTAATAATGAGAAGGAAGCACATGCTAAGCGCAACACGAGCTGCGTTAATATAAATTATTATTTTGTAATCTTCTCTGTTTGTCATCGAGATGCTTAAAGTCAACGGTTTACTGCATGAGACGAGGTAGGAAATAATAATAAGAATTATTTCGTAATGATGGAGGTTCCACAGAAACACAACTAAATATGTTGTCTTGGAGAAATCGTAAATTCAGATGAAGTTGAATGCGAAGTACATTGTAT